TGCTGGTGGTGCCGTTGCTGTTGCTGTTGCTGTTGCTGTTGCGGTTGCTGTAAGCCTCTCGGCTCAGGCGAGGTCAGGCTAGTACAGTCCGCCATTTCCTCGCTCACCATGGCAGCAATTGTCAGAGCCTGAATTGCTCCGGTCCCAAGTCCGGAGGGAAGCACGCGTTAGCAACAGAGCCTACTCTGCTTCCACAGGTGAGGGTTGTCAACCAGCGAAGTCGACAGGAGTTGTGTTCAACATGAGCATGACGAAACAGCACCACGACTCAACCAGTAATCGACCCAAGCACCACAAAGGGGCAGGCAAACGGTCCTACCAGAAGGCTTTGAGACAAGCAGAGAAGAACGGAATCGCCTACTACAAAAGGAAAAGCCTCACTTTCACAGAGCTAGGAGGAACTCCGGCTACTTCCAACACTGAGCGACCCAAACGGTCAAAGCCTGCCAGCAACCGGGAACATGAAGGAATAAGATATCTTTCTTGGAACGCGGGATCGCTGACAACAGCAGTCTGGGAAGAGTTACTCTCCCTACTCGCGACGGAAGCGTACTCTGATGTGAAAATTGTCTTGGTCCAGGAGACTCACTGGAGAGGTAGCTGGCAGTTCCGTAAGGCACACTGGCATGTTGTCAGCTCCGGCACTCACGAAGAGCAGGGAGCCGGGGTCATGATCATGGTGCACGACTCGCTATGCCGGGCGAAGGACATTCGCTTCAATGAGGTCTTGCCAGGGCGACTCCTGCACTTGCGTGTGCCTGGTGCCTCCTTCTCGCTTGACATCCTCTCCTTTTATCAATTTGTCTGGGGCTCAAAGCAGACTCTGACCCAAAATCAGGAGCAACGCCGTGCAGCTCTGCATAGTTTGTCTCAGACAATTGGCTCTCTCCCGCAGCGAAACACCCTGATAGTTGCAGGGGACTACAATATGTCACTGAGGACGGACAGGAAGTGCGTCAGGCCCTGCACAATTGGTGTTAGCAAATTAGGGCAGAGAGGTGCGAAGGACTTCCACAGACTTCTGGAGCAACATCGGCTGGTTGCGGCCAACACCTGGTCCGTCAGGAAGCCGGCCACACACATTCACGGCAATTCAGTCAGCCAAATTGACTATGTCCAGCTGCGCCAGAGCCAGACACAGGGTCCAGTTGCTCTCCATGTCGCCAGTTTGCTGCTGCAAGTTGGAGAGATGGCAGCCGCCTCTTTCCGCTAGTTGAGGAAGCTTTGCCACCGCCGGAGATCCTCCGCTAAGCCAAGGCAGGCCTATGATCAGCAGGAGATGGAGGACTGCTATAGTAGGCAGTCCTCAGATAGGATCCAACGGTACACCGTTACCGTCGACGCAGCCTTAGAGGGTCAGGAGCCATCCTGGCAGTCAAGGAGGGCCTCTGAGATCTGGCTGACGAAGCAAAGTGCGGAAGCAAGAACAGCCAAGCAACGCAAGTTCGCGCAGCGTCAAGCACTCATCGATGAGCAGCTCCGCCAAGCTGAGGCCAAAAGTGCTACGGACGGGAGTCACCCACTCTACAAGGTGATCAAGACCTTCAAGCGCGGCCGGCCAAGCGAAAGGGTCCAGCTTCGTGTCGCACAGGGCCGCCTCCTCGCAGGTTGAAGCCCAGCTACGTTCTATCAAGCTAGGGAAAGCAGTCCCCACGGACTGTCCTCCGATTGTAGCTTGGCGAGCCATAGGGCCCTCAGCCCAGCAGCACACTGTAGCTCTCCTAAACGAAGAGGCCCAAAATTCGCGGGGTTTAGGGTTTAGGGTTTAGGGGAGATGTTGCACCCGATGAAACAAGATAGATGTGAAACAACCAGAGGCTTCACGACGATAAATACATGCATATGGCAAGTGGTGTCAGAAGACCTCATGCTTGTTGATCTTACCATCAGTTGGTGCCACGCCCGCCTTGCCGATTTAAGCGTCACTATCGGACTGGTCTTCGCAAGTGTCTAGTATCATTTGGCGGGACCAATCGGTACATCAGCTGTTCGGCCAGGACTCCGCGGCTCTGCAACTGTTGCACAATCCCAGACAAGTCGTCGATTCGAATTCTTAAGTCCTCGATCTTCGCCTTGTCTGGCAAGTACGACTCTTGGACCCCAAGCCCCTACCGGCCAGGATCCCAGTGGTACTAGAATGGCTGCTAGAAACGGCTAAACCAGCTCTGAAAGATGCCATGTCGTCTCACAGTTCGGCTTTGTGCCGGGGCGAGGAACGGAGGAGGCCATCTGTAAGGCTCTTACGCACGTTGATGAGGCCCGAGATCGAGCCAGACAGAGTCAGCGACAGGCGGGTAAAGGACACAGGAGCGTCAGTTTGAAGGGTAGACTAACGCTAAGCGTTGATATGAGCAAAGCCTTTGATATGGTAGATCGGCGCAGACTGCGAGAAGCCCTTGAGCTGGCAGCGGCGGATCCTTTCCTGATTGAACTAGTCGGCAAGTTGCACATTCAGGCTCTCTATGAGATGACGGCCAGCGATCAAGCCTTCAGCATAGCCACTAAAAGAGGCATAAAGCAAGGCTGCAAACTGGCCCCATCCCGTTTTGCTTTCGCAACCTGCCTCTTGTTCCAAAAGCTGGGAGAGCACTGCGACACCGCGGTGCTCGCGCGCATCCTCGCAATGTATGCGGATGACACATTGCTTCAAATGCACTTCGATGACTTAGCTCAGCTGCATGAAGCGTTGAGGATGGGTGATCTTCTCTTGGACCAACTCACGGAACTTGGTTTTAAGGTAAATCCTGAGAAATCTGCCCTGCTCCTTCAGCTCCATGGTGGATCGGCACAGCAGATTAGGCACAAATTGATCCTGACCAAAGCAGGCGAAAAAATTGTGCAGTTACCATCGGGCAGACTTATCGCACTCAAGACGCAGGTCCCCTATTTGGGGATCATCATCTCCTACCGTGAGTACGAGATGCAGTCCTTAAGGCATCGACTGCAAGCCAGTAAGGCAGTCATGAAAGAAGTGGCACACGCTGTTCGCAACAGCCACGCAGTGACAGAAAAACGTCGCATGTCCATTTGGCGCATCACTGCCTGTTCTTCTGCCTTTTATGGACTGCATGTAGTAGGGCTCACGGAGCAAGGCCTTCCGGCAATTGAGTCTCACATGCTGTACCAGCTGCGCTTCGTCCTGAGGAGCTACTCCCAGAACACTCGGGAATCGAACCAGAGCTTGCTCAAGCGTAAAGGCATGAAGACAGCTAGGGTCCAGATCATGGCGAGATTACGCAAGTTCATTAAGCGCCAGCATAAAGGCGACAAGGATGCACTTCTTCCACATTTTATACCTGCCTCGGGCGCAAAGATTGGCAGAGACGCTTCCACAGCTACAGAGCGCCGCTTGGGCAGCCAGGAGCAACTACAGGTCTGCACGGAGTGCGGTGCGATCTTTATCGGAACAAGAGTCCTACGTAGGCACTCCCAGAAGCACCATCCTGGAGTCAAGCATTTTCCATAAGGGCCGAAATTTGACCCGAAAAAGCACTCGAAAGCGGGAGCGCCAGAATGTCTAGCTTGTGGGCGAGCTTTTCGAACCTACTTTTATCTGAGGCGACACATAGAGATTTCAACCTGCTCGCGTGTCCACCTGCTCCTCCGGGAGGATCAGCAGGACAATGACCAGAAGACGGAGCTCGACAAAGTGCACACAGAGGTAATGCGAGAATCGTTGCTTGATCCTGCATCCGCAGCTTCCAATCCAAACCTTCATGTTTTGCTCATGGAGAGTTGTGCACTGTGTGGGCAGGCGCTAACAGGCAACAAGGCCCTCAAGCAACACTTGAACCGTCAGCATCCCGAGGTCATGAGCCGGGTCCTGCAGGTCATCACACCACGCCTGCAGCAGCATAAGGTGATGATGAAAAAGGGGAGCACCTGCAGATACTGCCAAACTAAGGTCGATGCACCTGGAAGGCATTCGGAACAATGTGTGCCTCTTCTGCAGACGCATGTTCTTCAGGAGGCCCAGAAGCAGGCACTTCATCTGACTCCTCGTACCTATGAAGCCAAGCCTAAACAGAAGTCCTCCAAGCCCCCTGAAACAGAACCTCAAGTAGGTCTGCGAGTGCCCACTTTTGTTCTAAATGGCTTTTGGCTCTTGGAAGACCGCAGAAATCATTGTTATGCCTATTCGGTTTTGCAAATCCTGCATTGGGTTATTCCCTCAGTTGAGCTCTCTCTATTGCAGGAACCGATGCGAGCCAGTCAGCTAGCGCGCACCACGCCAAAACATCCATCTCTTGAGCCAGCCACACGAGGCTGGACATTTGCTGGGCGGCAGCAAGACGCAGCGGAATTTCTCACAGCCATTTTGCCAAATTTTTCCCCTTTGTCCTTGGGGGCTTGGGAGACGGATGCCGGGTACATAGTGGACGAGGAAGGCAACTCCCCGGTGTTTCTACATGTAGAGATGGCAACCGATCTGCAGATCATGATCAATGGCTGGAGCAATAGATCACCGATACATGCATTCTTACGCCCCGCGAGATTTGTCTGCCTTGCCCTGCCTCGATATGCAGGACGCGGCAAAAACAGTCAGCCAGTAAAGCTGCAAGGAACCGTCGAACTGCCTCTTTATGCAGGTGCTGACTCCTCGATAGAATGGGTCCCCTTCCAACTCAGGTCGGGAATAGTGCATCTTGGAGCAGAGCCCACCTCAGGCCATTATCGCAGCTTTGTGCTTTCGGATGGGCAATGGTATCTAGGAGATGACGCAAGCCCACCATCTGCCTGTCAGTTGGCTGATCAGCTGATTGCTTGCAATTGCTACCTTTTGCTACTCGAGCACCAGGCAGCCTAGTCCAGAAGGCCCAGGGGAGACCAAACAATGTCTCTGCAAGATTTCTTCCGCAGTGGCGCCATGATGGACAGCACCTCCAGGAGAGGCGAGGCACCGGGCAACTCTGGTGGAGATTCTCCCCAGAAGCGGCAGAAAGGAGGAGGAGCTCCCCTTTCTAACGGCCAGGGCAAAGGCAAGAACGGCGGCCAACAAAGATGGACGGTCATCAGGGGATACTGATGATAGCGGTGATCTGGTGAGTGCTATGGCCAGACTCGTCCTTCGTCATGATGAGCAGTTGACGGCCTTGACGACACATCTCTGCTACATCTCATATGTGCGCACAGATGCTCGTTCGGTCTTACCAGAGCTTCACGCGGAGAGTAAGAAACACAGAGCCATGTTGGCCCCAGCTGCCCCTCCAAGGCACGCCATGACGCTCAAGGTCATTGGGCAGAAAACACAAAAGCCGTATACGATGTCGGAGACCTTGTAGTCCCCGCTCTAGCTGCAAGTAGCTTCTTGGTGCCCAGGTGAGAGCAGCGAGGAGTTGCTCCCGCGAGGCAGGTCGTCCCAGCATAGCAGCGTCTGCAGTCTGTTAGCTTCGTCGGTGCACTAGCAACCAGTCAGCACTGTCTCTGCAGCCCTGTTTCGTCACTCAAGCTCTCCTGCAGTCTACTGTTCGCAACATGGCGTACGTGCTCCAGCCAACACAGCTGGTCACAGTGCTGATCCCTGCGCTAGCAGCTCTCTTTTACGAGACGGAGGTGGAAGCTGGTCGCGAGGTACTCCCCGGCTCCATCATCACACAGATCCAGACCCTCATCCAGGGCAAGGCAGTGAAGCTAAAGGCTCAGCTTATGATGCTGGCAGTGGAGCTACTCCCTCCCTGCCGAACAGCTCAAGAAACTGAACAGCTTCTGTAGCCGCCTTCGCGGCTACGACTACTTCGCTTTGTCCAAGCTGCGTGATGGCACTGAGCTCGGCTGGTCGTCACTTACTGGGTTTCAGTACGACCTTGAGGCGGCCCGACGTGAGACGGAAATCATGTCTACGCCACCAGTACGAGCTCGAAACCGAGCTGCTCCGCCAGAAGTACTTCAGGGAGGACCAGGAGTTCAACGCTGTGGTTGCGGCCTGGGAGTCACACCTAGGCTCCCTCCTGAATGAAGAATGGTAAGGGCAGAATAACTCCAAGACCCCACCCCTGCAACCCGAAAATGTCATGTCGCAAAGGTTGGGAAGTCACGGCCATGGTGGAGGGACTCCCGGTGGAGTCACCAGCTCAGAGTGCAGCCGCTTTGTCAGCTTTCAGGTTTTCTGTGTCTGCTCAGTGTCAGGCTTTAGCATACAGCAGCACTTGCTCGAACACAGGCAGCCCTTAGACCTTAACCCGCCCCTGCTTCAGACTGCCTCAGTCCCCAACAATCCAGTCGGCTTCCTCGAATCATGTCGCAACAAGACGAAGCATACCGAGCCGAGTACACTGAATACAGTGCTCGCCGTGCAGCAGAGGGACTACCAAAGGTCTCATATCGAAATTATCTTCGGCAGTGGAAGCGCTCCGAAGACGGCCATGTGGGTGCGGGGGACCCTCGCATAGAGAAGGGAGGCAAAGGAGGAGCGGGTGGAGTTACTCCCCCGCCCCATCCAGAGGGAGGAGTTGCTCCCCCAGTGAAGGCGAAGGGTGGAGAAACTCCCCGGAAGCCCCACCTCTCCCAGCTAGCCCTTCAACAAAGAGAGTCGGTGGCAGCAAAGATCCTGGAAAGCGCTGGATACCCAGAGTTCCGGACCACATCCCTACGTGTGGTGGGTCCATCTCGGAGATCAACAGCGGCCGTCTTTCTGTTTCTTCAACTCGGAAGCTTATAGAAGGCCTTGCTGGCTGCCAGGAGCCGACCGAGAAACTAGCAAACTCGCTGCTAGTCTCGTTTCTCAAAACGAAAAGGCTTCCACGAAGAAGACTTGCTTGCCAAGCTGGGCAGGCGAAAGAGTACCCAGGCCAGTGGTACAGGCTCCCTTTCAGGGCGCCGAACAAGCTCGACCTCAGCGATGACCAGGCTGAGACAGGATATCATGGGACACATTTAGAATGCCTCCATTCTATTTTGGCGAGCGGGAGGCTTCTTCCCAGCGATCCAGGGATCGCCGGAACCAGAGCCTTCGAAAACAGAGGTGGAGTAGACCTCCACCGCCCTATGAACTGGCATCTAGCCGAAGGTTACAGCTCTCTCACCAGATATGGGACGAAACATATCTTCATCAAGCCTTGTATCGAAGTTCGCTTCGATCCGAAAGGCAACATGCGAGCTGGGAAGCAGACAAACCAACTCATCCAGACGTTTGAGACAGTCAAGATCCTCGCAGTGCACTTGAGGATTGCAACAAAGGCGAACCTGCAAGTCTCGGAATATCTGATGGAATGGGCAGGTGCACTGGAGCTTCCACTGAGCTCAGCCAAGCAAGCTTTCGAGACCTTGGGCCTTGCAGACACGTTGCCGAAGAAGACAGAGGTTGCTTCACAGTCAAGTGGAGATACTCCCTTGACAGCTGGTCAGGGTGGAGTAACTCCCCCTGCGGAGGCTGGGTCATCCAGCCAGTATGCAACGCACTCTTCCAGCGCAGCAACGTCTAGCATGGACGTGGACATGCAAGGCCACCCATGATGCAGTTCCCATCAAAGAATGGATGGGAAGAGAAGGATCGATGGGAGAGCACCGCGATGCCTCGAAAGAACAGCCCATTTGCAGTATCGCTGTCGAAGGCTCTTGCCGCTTGTCTCCGCCACGGACACAAGCCACGCTTGGAAGTTGACGCTGCAGGCTGGGCGAGAGTCCAAGACGTGCTCTCGTGGCCCCGGGTCCGTGAACTAGAAGCGACTGGCATAGCTATGAATCAATGCAGCAGCGCGGCTTATTGCCAGGCAAGGCGCAGTCCCAGAAGGGAAAGGGAGGCCGAAAAGGACGCGAAGGACGACAACACGTGCACTTCTTCGACGAAGCTGGAGGGGTCTCGGGCAAGTGAGAAAGCTCAACCATGATCGTTCGCATCTCTACCGCAAAGCGGTAGAGCAAGTGGTGCGATTTTTCATAAGCAGAAACGGGGTGTACTTGACACCCGACGAGGTACCGCCCATCTGCATCAACAGCTGCCAGTCAGTCCGAACCAAGGAGCTATACGATCGTGACGGAGAGCTGATCCCCAGGTCCAGCTAACTCCCAGCACAGCTTGTCGTTGTGAGGAAGCTTGATCTTCTTGGAGGAGTAACTCCCCAAGAGACCCCGAGGACATACTCCCGGATGTATCCAGCAAGGACACTTCAGCCGGTTTTCGGCGCTTTGCCACGAGCTGCTGTCACCAAGTGGAGTAACTCCCTTGGACTTTTTGTCGGACTACTCAGAGGGCCGCATGGTCAAAAAGCAATGGAGTAAGCTCTGTTCCCTGCAGTGCCTCTTTCTTTGCCTTAGTTAGGCCAGCTGTGCTCTCCTACGGCATAAAGGTAAGCAGTTTTTGAATCGCCGGAGGTTGATAAGAACGCTCAATGACTTGTCACAACTGAGGGGAGAAACCCCCTCGACTCGGTAGAAGCTTTGGAGCCAAGTGATTACCAAAACATACACAGTGCGCCACCGTCAACAATGCATCCAGTTGCAACTGACAGGCCTGCGGCTTTAAGGGGCGGGGCAGCCGCAGGTGCTGAGCTCAGGCCCGGCCTGCAAACCTACATGCGATGCTCAGCGACCTGCAATTCAGGAGAGATCAATCTGGTAAGCGAGCTATCACGGCTCCTGCTGTCTTGAGGGACGGGGAGCTTCAGGTGCTTTGCACCGAGTGAGTAGACTCTTTAGGCTCACTAGTTAGAAGTTGAAACATGAGGAGGAGTAGCTCCCCGAAGGACCGCGAATAAGTTGAGTCGTCGCAATGCGAGGATACATGGCAAGTCGAGCACATTTCCCGCTGCGTGTGAATGAAATGTTGTTGTTGTTGTTGCTGGTGGTGTTGTTGTTGTGGTGGTGGTTGCTGTGGTTGCTGTGGTTGTTGCTGTTGCTGTTGCTGTTGTGGTTGTGGTTGTTGTTGTTGCATGATAATACCAAGCATAACAGTTCTAATAGTAATAGCCCACACACATCACAAGCAAAAAGCAACAAGCAAAGAAAGCGACGAAAAGCGGAGCGCAAAGCAAAAGCAGAAAACAAAAAGCAACGAGCAAAGAACAAAAAAAAGCAGAAAGCAAAGGCAAAAAACAAACAAAATCCCCCAAGAAAAACAAAAAATCCTCAAATGATTAGGATTCCCACAAAAAAGACTAGAACCGGGGCGTGCCCAATCAACCCTTGTCGGCGCTCCCAATCCGTGACGTCTCTTCTTGCTGCTCAGTCACCTTGATCCATCGAAGGGCTCGGTCCAGTCACATCAGCTCTGAAGCGGCATCTACCTGAAAGGCAGCATGAAAGCCAGTGATTGCAAATTCCACAATCCGTGATAGCACATGGCATTAGGAGTCCGCACACTTCCCTCGATGTTCCACTCAGCCCCGACCTCATCAATTCAAACGGAGGCTGTAGAAAATGACAACAAAAGACAACAATTCTTGAGCCGAGAGAGTCAGTGCAGGAACGACGGGCCAGTACCAGTAACGAAGATTCTGACATGCTGGTGAGGCTGTTTAAGAGCGGCGAAACGCCTATCCGTACACAGTGCTTTCCCCTCAGAAGTGCTTGCAGACGTGGTATACGAGCCGCAAATCTTTCTAGTCGACGATCTTCCATCAAAGGCAACGGCGTACCGGTAACCGGTAAGAATGCTCCCTATACACCATGAACGCAAGGAACTAAGGGCTAGAGCGTCAGGGTGGGGATAAGATTTTTTGAGGTAGGGGTGCCTGTCTGAGGGCTCCGGGGCTGACAAGGCTGTGCTCGGGCCGCTTTGATAATGACAGACTTACCCCATGATCTCACTCGGGGAACTCTCCTTTTCCCAAGGCAACCCAGGGTAGCGGAGAGCGTTAGCTCGCGCCAGCAGTCTTTGCCGGGGCAGACAGTCGCGTGGTCGATGCACTTGGCATCAGGCCACAGACTGTCATGAACTTGGCTACGTGTTGGCCGTGCCTCGGAAAGGTACAATGGAATCGGCCTTCGTGCAGGGCCTGGGGAAGTCTGACTTCGAGGTCACGGCGGTCACGGTCACCGACAGAGCCGGCCAGCTGCTGTGCTCGCATCCACTTGCAGACACGGCTGTGGGAGAGGCTAAGACTAAGATCCGGAGGGCCACTGGAAGGCGATCGGTGCGCTCGCTGCGCATCACCGCGGCACATGGCCTCGTTTTCGTTCTTTCGAGCGAGAAACATAAGTGCATCCTACACCGGGGGCAAGTCTGCCAGAATTTCTAGTGCAACGGGAACATCAGCAAAGTGAGGTCTGCAAAATATGTCTCTGGCACCTCGTCAGCGAAGCCGCGCAGTGGACAGACAACCGCGCCAACCACCGATCTGACAGCTGCCTGACTTTGCTGAATGCACCTTTCGTACAGAGCCCTCTTCTCACTGCTTCTACGAGTAGGGGCCATCAACTCAGAGCCTGCAAGGTGTGTGCATGAACTTCCGGCGGAAGGGAGAGGCCAGAAAGGCTTTCGATGCCTGACGCCATCTTCTGGGGCGGCTGAGCTTCGGGAAAGTCAGCTTCGCAGCTGCTTCCAGGCTCGCTGGCTGCTCATACCAATGTGTGCTTTGCCGGCGAGCAAGCCACAAGCGTGCATACTACAGCACACCCACCTGCGACCGCACCACGCTTAACTAACACATCGTTGCCGGTGCAGGACGAGACTGCCTCTTCAGGCCTGCGACGTTCCCATGCGGCGACAGGTTCTCGCGCGAGACTTCGGGGCTCTGCGAACAAGCAGCTTCCGAAAAGGAACGCACCCGGAAAAGAACCCCTTTGCGCACAACCCCTTCGCGTTGCAGGAAGCCGATCTGTGCGAAGTCAAACCACCTGAGAGGCCCAGGATGCGAAAGCCTGGAAGCTGAGACCGAGCATGACAAGACCGTCCCCGTGCAGCTGCAGGAATACATGCGGAGACGGCGACGGCAAAATTCTGGATGAGCGTAGGCCGACGCACGTGCTCTGGCCCTGCTGGCAGGTGCCCTCTTTTCGGAAGGCAACATGCTGCAAGAGCCAGGTCGAAAAGCAGGCCATCAGGTTTGGCGACTGTTTGTTTCAATTGCAGGAGATTCGAGTGAATGGTATGAGGAATCAAAGTGCCCATTGCAAGGGGGCTGGAGCTCACGGATTTGAGCCCGGACAGGTCCGGCGCGATCCGAAGATCAACGAAGCACCCGGACGGCAAGGGGGAGCCTGCGTCGAAGACGGCAGAACAAAGGTTAGGCCACGAGTGTGCTTAAGCATGCGAAGTGACGATAAAACTCTTGAGCTTTCTGCGACGGCTCGGGCATTGACCAAGGTGCCCAGCAAGGCGAGGCACCCGTCGGCATAGCATCTCTCTCACAGCAACCTTCACTCGCTGGCCCCATGCCCTTGTCTGGGTCTGGGAGCATCGAAACATCAAGAGGCTGGCATGCCAATGGCTGAGCGGTTAATTGCTCCAATGCTTCTGGACGCGATGCAGAAAGCAGGTGGAGAGCATGGAGCGGTAGCGTCTCGTCGACGACTCGTCACCCGGGAACGGCACTTGCTGCAGGGGCTCTGAAGCAATCGCCGCTTCTTCATGTCACTATCGGTGACCGAGATGCGGAGCGACGGCAAACGCACGTCGTCAGCCGCGCATGCCTGTGCGGGCTCGCCACAGCTTGCTTAAGAGAGACACGGCCTGCGGGCACACTTCTTGTGAGAGCGGGTCGTGTTGCTATGATGCGCTGCGGAGGCATCCATGGCTCCTGCCTGTGCCGCTTGTCATGAACACAAACCTCGCGATCTTCCCTAGCACGGCACGGGCATGCTGCAGCGACCTACCTTACTGAAGCGTTGAAGGCGTGACATTCGCACGTGGTAGCGGGAGCGACCCCCAGAGGCCGATGTCCGTGGAATCGGCGCTGCATGGCAGGCCTTTGTCATCAAGGGAATTGCTGCGGTGACCCGCTTTTGCCGCCGTCAACCAAGAAACTGTTCAGAAATCCGTTCCCCTCTTAAGGAATGCTGCAAGAACCTGGCGGGATGATTGTCCGGAGGGGAAGCCGGGGAAGAGTCATGTTCTGTGGTGTTCGAAACGCTCCTGTGGATCGGTGTGGGGCTTGTTTGGCAAGAGCCTGTGGGGCATGAAGCACACATGCGGCCGTCGAGGGAGAGCTCAGAAGCCTGGTTGGCACCGGGCTTAAAGGCCGATGTCGGTGCCCTCGCTAGGCAGTTGGACAAGACAGATCCTGAAAGCTCTAGCCGTCTTTTTGCTGCAGCAGTCTGCAGCACATGCCTCCCGAATCTCAACAGCAACAGAAACGGGCTTCGAAACGGCCCCACAGCACGTGCGCGTGCCGGCAAGCTCTGCCCGCCTCACCTGCAGACCTAGGCTGCAGAAAGCTCGATGCGGGCGAGGCATTGCGACCACAAGCTGCTCTTGGACTGCACACAGGGCGCGGCCCTGAATGCCACGTTTCTGTTTGAGCGGCAAAGTTCGACACCAGCAGGAACGCAGCATGAGGGCTCCCAAGATGCTACAC